TTATTTATTTATTTATTTATTTATTTATTTATTTATTTATTTATTTATTTATTTATTTATTTATTTAACTTATATACCGCTTCATAGGGCTTTCAACCCTCTCTAAGTGGTTTACAAATTTTTTAGCAAATTGAATCAGCAACTTGCTCCCAAAGTCCGGGTCCTCATTTCACCCACCTCGGAAGGATGGAAGGCTGAGTCGACCTTGAGCTGGTTGAACCAGCTGAACTGCAGATCACAGTTAGCTAAAGTGGCCTGCAGTACTGCACCCTAACCACTGCGCCACCTCGGCTCTTTCTTACTTCGCTATCTCCTGGTTTCTAGCCTGGTGTGGTAATACTATACCAAACTGGCTCTCTGCTTGCAGATAGTAAAAGAAAAGGGCATCCTCACCTATAATGTAGAACCCTGCCATTATAGTTAAGAACAAGTAAGGAACCAAACATATTTGTTTGCCTCTGGGTGGAATCAGACTTGTCTCCTCTCCCCAAAATCCTATCCCAGAGCAGCCTAAGGAGTAAGGAAACCAGGGTGTCCACTGTGGCAGTAAGACCAGACGTGCAGAAGAGCTAGAAGCAGAGTTGGCAAACTTACTTCGCTATTTGGGCTAGATCACACAATAATTCCCCCCACCCCCATTTCAGCAGCACACCTTTGGGCACTTGGGGAACAAGAGATTGGGAGCAGGGAGAGCAAGTGGCCATTTCCAGAAATACTTTCAGAGTAAAGACTCTTTTCCCAACGCCTCCCAGTCCTGGGGTCCCTTCCACAGCCACAGCAAAAGTGGAGCTCTCTCCTCCACACTGCTGTTTCTGCCAGCAAAAGGCAAGTGAGATGCACACTGCTAGACAGGAAGACTTGTTGTCCAGCTCAGGGCCCTCAGCCACAGATGAGCTCAGCCCTTGGCTGAAGGAGGGACAGTGGGCGTGGCAGAGCCTGCCATCTGAGTAACAGGGAAGGCCGGGCCACCAGTTGCAAGTGCTGCACCAAGGTCACTATGAACCAATGGCCAGCATTTCCTTCTGGCGAAGTCGACCTGGAGGGAAATGTGGTTATCCCTCATTTNGGGACGCGGGAAAATGCGTTGGAAGGCGGGTGTGTCCCGCCAAAAGCGGGACGTCTGGTCACCTTACACTATACTGAACTATATTATATTGATTATGTTATTATTATTTAAAGATTTTAAGAGAAAAAATAGACATTTTGAAAGAAATAAGTAGAGGGTATAATGTAATAAGTAACTGAAAAAAATATAAAAAATAAATAGAGAAGAAAAAAGAAAAGGAAAAATGATAAAGAAGCAGCTTCCAATCTTTTTAAAAGCAGTTACAAATACATTTACATTTTATTTTCTCTTTCTAAAAGTGCTAATTTTACTTCTTTCCATTATGTATCCTTTCTAATCATCAAATCCATAAATCACAAATTTATGTTTTTCTTTGTTCCATAAAATATTTATAAGAGCTTTCCAATCACTGCTTTAATGCCAGCTTCAAATCCTCCATTTTCTGTATGAAAGATTCTTTTTCTTTAAATGGGATTTGGACTCAAATATTCTTTAAATTCAGGCCATATTCAAATATAAGACTTGCCTTCTAATAGCCAAAGACTGCATTATGTAAAATTCAATAAATGTTCCCACTTCTCAAGCAACCCTTTCCCTCCATGATTGTACATGGCATTACCGTGTGGCTAGACAATGAAATCTTTCATTGTTTCTCTAGAGAATTCAATATCTCACAGTTTTTCCATCTGAGGCTCTAGAGCACTGACGGTTAACCCTTTTTGGCTAGGGGGGTCAAAAGCATGTGCGGCTGTGCAATATGCACGTGTGTCCATGCCCATAATTCAATCCCCCATGCGTGCCCCCTGTGCATGTGTGCATGTCCTCCCCTGCCCTCCTAAAGCCTGGGGAGGTGAAGACAGCCTCCCCCCGGCCCTCAGAGACCCTCCAGAAGCTGGAAATGGCCTATTTCTGAACTTGCAGTAGGCCCGTTTTTCATCCGCCCCAGGCTTTGGAGGCTTTCCTGAAGCCTGGAGAGGGCAAAAGCGGCCTCCCTTGGCCCTTAGGAGGCCCGTCAAAGGCTTAAAATAAGCTGGCTGGCGTGCGCATGCACGCTGCAGCTGACCTAAGACAATGGCTCGCATGCCCAAGCATGCTCTGCTTGGAATAAATGCTTTCTGGATAGTTTATTGTTCTGCTGAAAGTATGACATAATATGATTAATTCAACATCTTATGGATATATTTGACAGGATAAATTTTCTTTCTTTCTTTCTTTGTTTCTTTCTTTGTTTCTTTCTTTCTTTCTTTCTTTCTTTCTTTCTTTCTTTTTCTTTCTTTCTTTCTTTCTTTCAAGCATCTATATGTTTATATCCATCTTATAATAAACTCAAAGTGTATCTCCCAATCAGATTATAAAAGTGATAAGGTCAGGTCATGTCCTCAACATTGTGTGATATCAAATTCCTGTTGACTCAGTGTGAATTCAATTTGTTTTTGGTTTCAGCAAACTTTTGTCAAGTTAGCAATAAGAAAAGATATCTTTAAAAATAGAAATTCTTCATATTTTTATTATTTGATAATGCATTTTTTCCACTGCAAGACCAAACACACACAATGATAGCAAATCATTTTTAGTTACTGCAACATGTGTTATTCTCATTACTGGGAGTAATTTTTCATGAATCAAGTCTATGTTATGCACAATTGTTACATGTCAATAATGTTAAAAAAACACTTTCCTCTTTGAATTTGGGATTTGGATTCCATCCTTCAGTTTTCAATAGGAAAATTCTAACTCTTTTGCTGTATGCAGATGGTGAGAGGATTATTCCTATACTTCATATAAAAAACTAGGGGTTGTCCCAAATGCTTTTTATAACACACCTAAACTTGATAGGTTTTCGGTTACAGTTTGTTATTGTCATATCTTTATGAATTTTCAGTGTTGAATGGAATCACAGGATGGATCCAATCACTTTTAATTCAATTTTAATTTTGAATCTTACAATTCATGCATGTTTGATAGTGCTGATCTTGTTACTGTAAATAAAATGAAGCAAACCTTATGCCTGTTGCTGAATTACCATTCTTTCCAATATATTATGATTAGAATTATTGTATAATTATAATAATTATAATAATAATTGTAATCCAATAATTAGAATTATTGTAGGCTAGGAGAAATCATGCCACCTATATAAATCAAGAAACTGAGAGGAAAGCTGCTTTGTAATTAAGCTCACTCTTTCTGGTTTATATGTCAATTTGTATTAAGCAAATTCTATTCACTAGCTATTTTGTGCATGCAATGATGGTCTAAGACATTAAATCATTTTCTATTTTCTATTCATATTTATTCCCAAGTAATCTTAAATACTTTCAGATTAGTAGAGATTAGTATCCTAATTCCAAGTGTTAGCTGTAAAGCTAAAAGAAAAACATCTCTTGATCTTTGAAAGAATTATTGATTTTTGGGTTGAGATGCAACTTTATTTAAAAATATCAAGTGTTTTAAAATCTTGCATGCAAACACTCATTTGATTCCCTCCAAGATTTTTTAGGTTGCATTTTTACTTGTTTTATCAGACTTTTCAATTATAGGAAGTACCTTGGGATTAACTGGATTTAG